CCAGACTGGGCTACACAGTGAGTTCAAGGCCATCCTGAACTACACAGTGAGACCTTGTCTCAAAAAAGAAACCCCAGGGCCAGGGATTTAGCTCAGCTGTGCTGCTGCCTGCCTCATAAACACAAGGTCCTGAGTTTGAACCCTGGTAATGAAAGAAAGAAAGAAAGAAGAGAGAGAAAGAAAGAAAACAGAGAGAGACAGGGGGGGGAGATAGAAAGAGAAAGAAAAGAAACCCCCAAAGGACATTGAAGAAATTATCAAGATTGAAAGGAAATCGGTGTATGAACAAATAAAAAATAAAAATTGGAAATAGAATATATCATTTAAATTTTTAGCACATCCTATGATACCATATTGTCTCAGTTTTAAAAAACTATTTTAAGAAGCACATACTTAAGGCCAATAACATCAAAATAAATGTATTTTTAAATAAATTTTTGGGGGGTACCAGGGATTAAACTTGAGTCCTTGAGCTTGTGAGGCAGGTGCTGGAACCACTGAGCTAAATCCTCGACCCCTTAAAAACTTTTTTTTAATTGAAATCTTCCTACCTCTACCTCCCTAGAGTGCTGGGATTGCAGATAAGTTCCTCATGCCCAATTTTTGGGGTATGTTCCAATGTGTGGAGAAGGGGACAAAGCAAGTGATATTTCTTATAGTCCTCTGTGTCCCTGTAGCTTGTTCAAATCTGGGACTGACCAAGGCACAGCCAGTGACATGGACAATGGCCTCCATGAGGTCTTTTCGGCTTTTGCCCTAGAATTTTTGTTTTGTTTGTTTGTTTTTGGTACCAGGGATTGAACTCGGGTCCTTGCGCTTGCAAGGCAGGCCACCAAACCGCTGAGCTAAATCCCCGGCTGCCCTAGGATTTCAACTGCACCCTCCCCTGTTCCTTCTGTTGTAATGAAATGGCACTCTGCAGAATACATCAGTCTAGGTTGGAAGTTGTTTTAAGGCTTGAAATACCTCACTCCAGGCTCTTCTTGCCTTGAGGGTTTGTGTTGAAAAGTCTGCTGTGATTCTGGTGGCCTTTCCTTTGCATGTGATTTGTTTCTTTTCTCTAACTGCTTGTAGTATTGTGTACTTCTGTTGGGTTTCTGGGATCTTGATTACTATGTGTCTAGATGTGGATTTTATTTTATTATAACTAGTTGGAGTCCTGTATGCCTCACTTATCTGTATGTCAAGTTCTTTTTCTCTGTTTGGGAAGTTTTCTATCATTAATTGTGTGAACAGTTTTTTTATGTCATTTGTACTCTCTCCTGCTTTTTCTTGAACTCCTATCAATCTTATATTATTCTTCTCTGCATCATCTAGGAGCTTTTGGATTGATTTCTTATGGTCCTTTACTATTTTTAAGAGATCTCTCTTTTCATGGTCACTGACCACCATCCTGTCTTTTATATCTGATATTCTGTCTTCAGAGTGGCTCAGTCTGCTGTGTATACTTTTAATAGAGTTTCGAATCTCCTGGATATCAATTTGAATCTTTTTCCTGGATTCTATTTCTTTCCTATGTAGCTCAGAGTAGAGCACACCTGAATTCAATCCTCAGTACCAGAGCCCACCATCTTTATAAAAGTAATTCGGATAAATTGATGACAATAGTATGCAGGCCCTTTTCAAAACTAAATTTTATGAGCCTGCTCCTCTAAAGAAAGAAAGAAAGAAATGGCACTCTGAGGGCAGGCAGACCCTCTGTCAAGCTTTAAGACTGTTAGTGTCTGCTTTGTCCTTTGTTCCTTTCCATTTTAGTTATGCATGGGGACCCTGAGGACACTCCCAAGCTACTGGCCACCAAGTATCTCCACCCAGCACCCACCTAGGTCTGGGCTCAGCTGCAATGTTGCAAGACATCTTTAGGTACCTGTACCCATGCTGTCTCCAACCTGTGTCACAGATTCAAGAATGCTCCCTTGGTCCTCTCCCGGTAAGAGTCCAGACTCCCTCAACCCAGCCTAGCTGAGAGGACTCTGATCCTTGGCCCCTTCCTGTCTCTATTCCTATGGCTCAGATGCACAGACCCCTGACTCTATAGAATTCTAGGCATCCAGGTTCTCTCTGGATGTGGGCAGAAGCCCCTACACCATTTGAAAAGTGAGGTGGGACCTGACCTGAAAGCTCTCTCCAGATGGGTACTGGTGGCCACTTCTGACATCTCAGCTCAGGTGACACACCCATGCAACTTGGCCAAGGGTTGGGAAAGGGAGCAGCAGACGGAATACACACTCTGACCCTGTGTAAGGTTCCCAGAGCCTCCCTTCCACCCAGGCCTGGACCTGGGAAGTTGCCTAGAACTTCAGAAGTACTTGACAATGGGGGGTGGGAGGCTGATGAAGAGGAGACTGGTCTGGAAGCCCTTCTCCCGCTGGGGACCAGTAGGGTAGCCGTGGCAGGATGGCAGGCATGAGTGGGGCGGCCATCCAGGGACAGAAACAATTGAAGATGAGAGGTTCTGGGATTTTACCTTATCTCTGCTCAGCTCCAGGAGGGAGACAGACCTTGTGATGGTAGCATGAGCCCCCACAGCCAGGCCAGAGCAGGAGGGGTGCCTGCAGGAGCAGTCACAGAGGAGCTTGTGCAGCATGGAACCCAGGTCTCCTACCCACCCCAAGACACCGTCCTCCCACACAGCTGCTTCTCCTTGCTCCTCACCTTCACACTTCCCACCAGGGGTTACCCAGCACCCAAGGGGTAGACACAAGGCCCCAAGTTTGTGTTCCCTCCGGTCATGTTCTCCATTGAAGACCCTTAGGCCAACATCCCCAGGTCCTCCCCTGCCGTCATCATGCCCCATGACACAAGCTCAGTCCATGGACTAAGGAAGGCATAGCAAGCAGGGGGAGGAGCCATCAGGGACTCAGGAGGCCCTGCCCAGAGCTCAACTCGGGCCCTCACACTCAGCCCCTCCCTAGGGCCCAGGGTGGGCCTGACCATTCTCATGTTGGGTTCAGCCCGAACCCCACTCCAGGTCCCAGGATAGTAGGTGGGAACATCGGATGGGAATCACGACTAGGGTCACAGGCATAGCGCGGAGCAGGAGCAGGAGCCAGAGTAGAGGTGGGGCCTGGTGCTAGCCCTGGATGTGTGGACAGCTGCACTGTCCCCATGAAGGCCCTTCTTTATCATTACTCCTCATACAACCACATCTCATTATGATAGTAAGTCTGTTCCTTGGTGTACGGGGATCCCCCAGAACCTGGCTGAATCACTCTGGGGACTGAGGAAACCAGGGCACAAGAGATGTGAGGACAAGGTACCGCAGTGGGAGAGCCAGTGCCTGGTGATCAGAAGCCAACAAAAGCAGCATGTCCTGCCTCCTTCCTGTCGCTCTAGGGCCCGGGAGTAGTGGGGGGGATCGGTGGTTTGGAAGGGGAGGACTTCCCTACACCAAGGGAAGCAAGGGCAGCTCTAGCCATTGTGGCCCCAGTGGGTTCCAGAGTTCTGAGGACAGGTCTCTGCTGGGCTCTGAACTGGGCAGTAAGGGACAGGAGAATCCAGTGGGCAGCAGGGGCTCCCCCATAGTGACCTGGCCTCCTCTTAAATGAATGTCACCGTGGTGGCCACTGGACACGCCCCCCATGCTTCCCCATCTCTAGGCTTCCCTGGCACCCCTACACCCCATACTCCAGCTGAGCTGTGTAAAGGGACCTCATCCAAGTTAGAAAGCGCCACCTGCCAAGACACCAAGGAGGGGGGAGTCCTAAGCTCAACCAAAGTGCTCCCGCAGAGTGATCCTGCTGCAGACCCTGCCTCTGAGGACAGGACCCTATGAAGACCCCATTGGCCATGTGCAGGGACCACGTAGGAGGCCCAGGCTATGGGTATAGAGATGGCTGGGCAACTTTTTAAAGAACTTGTGTCTGGTTTTGCAGCTTCAAAAGACTCAGAGAAATGAAAGCTGTGAGCTTTTTTCAAAAAGTTTATTTGTTCAGAGGTTTGTTTGTTTGTTTTTTAACCAGGTTTATTGAGATGTGAATCATGCACCAGACAGTTCCCCAACTTGGAGTACAATTCAGTTATTCCAGCACACTGACAGGGTGGTGCATCCAGCACCAAAGTCAATTTCCAGTCATTTTCCTCACCCTTGGGCTGGGCAGTGCCTTCAGCCTGCATCACCTCCTCTCATCCCTTCCCAGCCCTGGCGACCACCAACCTGCTTTCTGTCTCTGTGGATTTCCCGATCTAGGCACCTCACACCATGTGGCCCCTCCTAAGTACCTTCACTTTCCCACTTGATGGGTCCCCTCCCCATCCCTGGAAGCATCACCACAACCTGAGTGTGTACTTGAGGACACCTGCCCTGGAGGGAGGGTTGCTGAGAACCTGTGGGAGGTGGCAGCACAGTCACCTGGGGCTGCTCCAACCTAGTCCCTGGACTTGGTGGCTGACAAACAACAGAACCCTGTTTCCAAAGGTCTGGAGGCTGGAAGCTGGGTCAAAGTGCCTGTGGTTCTGGTGAGGGATCCTTCCTGGTCCACAAATAGCACCTTCTCCCTGTATCCCCAAGGGCTGGGTGGAGAAGCAAGCTCTCGGGTCCCTGCGATAAGAGCACTAATCCCCTAATTATGTAATAATACTGGCACAGTAGCGGATAGAGCTTCAAATTTTGACATGAATTTGGAGGGACTCAGCCCCCACTAACAGGAAGAGAAGGGTTCTCCCAGATTCATGGTTGCGTATGTGGGTCCCTCAAGGGCTAGTTTCCTCCCACTGCATCCAGCAGGGTGGGAATAGGGAAGATTAGTGGCAGGGAGGCCAACCTAGGCTGATTCTGGGAAGAGTTCAGTGATCATGGGGTGGAAATTAACACTGGAGCCTAAGAATTGAATGACTATGTGGGCTCAGAAATGGTCATTTTAGGGCTGGGGATTTAGCTCAGTGGTGCCTCCCAAGTATAAGGTCCTGAGTTCGATCCCTGGTACAAAAAAAAAAAAATTTGGTCATCTTGAGTGGGGACAGAAATGTGATGAGACCCTAGGTCCTGAGCTTTGCCTGGGACCTGAATAAGGCAGTGGGATCAGCCCCAGAACATCCTTGCTGTGTGTCTGATCCTCTTTGGTGGCCAGAATGTAGAGTGCTAGAGGGTCTTAAAGCACCGGCCAGAGATGCCCCTACACGTCTAGCCCAGCCTCCCAGCCACTTTTGGGCTCTGAGTTCAAACAGAGATCAATTAGACAATCCACAGTTTAATAGGAAACAGGGTGAGTAGGAACTTGGCCACACATCCCATGCCTGCCCCACTCCCGGAGATGCTGCCTCACAGCCCTTCCTCCCAGAGTTCAGAGAGGCCCAGGGAACTCAGGGTAGGAGGGCAAGGGCACCCGCTGTGTTGGAGGATGAGGAGGTTGGGGGGATGAGACTGGAATCAGGGGAGGAACAGAGTGTGTCAAAAGGAAGAATGAGGTCTCCTCCTCCACCGGGCAGACCCCATCCCTGCCCCATCTAGAGCCCAGGGAACTGGGGAACATAGTGATGGATCCAGGACACATAGCTCATCACACGGGCATACACCCCAGGGAAGTCACGATGGCCACAGCCATTACCCCAGCTCACCACGCCTACCTGCACCCAGGAGCATCTCCATGTGCAGACCAGGGGACCCCCAGAGTCTCCCTGAGGAGAAAGGAGACACAGTGTTCCCTCCAGTGCCCTCCCTATACACACACGAGCCCGGGGGCTTTGCTGGGAGGGACAGAGTGTGGAGCTGGGCAGGGCTCACCTGGCAAGCAGCATGGCCCTTGCGCCCAGCACACAGCATATCATCCTTGATGACCCTGCCAGCACTGTGCAAGGAGAAATTCTGGTACTGGTGGTCACAGGCTTCGTCCTCCACAAGGGGAACCGCCACTGCCCGTAGGCTGTAGGGTGGGGGCAGCGACTCTGTGGGGAGGGGCCAGGCGAGAATCGTGAGCTAGGGGTCCCCACTTGTTCTCAACAGTGAACAAAAAGTGGCCACGGAGTCTCCCCGATACCCACCAAATTCCCGGATGTTACCCCAGCCGGTCACCCAGCAAGTTTTCTGAGAAGAAACATTCCAGGTGGCCTCTGGGAGCGAGACGGGGTGGACGCGCTCTGACAGTGCCACAGGGGCCTCCAGTCTCAGCAGGGCGATGTCTCCACCCCCTGGGGCCGACAGGCTCTCATTGTACTTGGGGTGGCGGATGATCTGAGCCACCTTCGTCAGCCGGTCATCCTCATAGAGCCTCAGCTGCCCAACCTGGACCCTGAAGGTGCAGGCTTCCAGCTCCTGCCTGCGGGGGGAAGCGGGGGACACCAAGAGCCCCTCAGGGAGGCCTGCAGGCTGGGAAGGCTGAGCTCCCCACAGTTGCAGGGATTGGGCCAGACACGGGCCGAGGCTGCCCCTGCAGCCTGAGGAGGGCCCGGATTCTGCCTC